ACTGGTAACCTCTTACTATAAAGAATCGCGTCAGTGTATCAACCACAGCTCCACTTACTTGCTTTACTTTACTGCAGCTAGCTCCTGTGACAGGAGGAGCCGGCTTCACGAACGTCGCGGATTGCAGCTGCCCAAGCGCGGCGGTTGGGTGTGCCGTTTACTGCCTGTAGGCTGTATACCGAACAGTGCGTTAGGTCCTCCTGACGTGGGGGGACAACACTGACTTGGACACTAGTGTCTACGAGGAATTGCATGTCAGATCTGAAGTACCGCAAGGAAAAAAGGCGACCTGGTTCGCAAATTCCAGCTTGCGTGTTCGTTTCCCGAGTTGGAAAATCAACACGGCTTTGTGCATTTCTGAGTCCTGTTAAAAAACCTTCGGTGATACCAGCAGATGCCACGTGAACGACTAAAATTCCTAGTACGCCGTTGGTTAGATCGAGAGTTGCGTCTTCGATTGGCGATGACAATGGAGCTCAGTTTTTCTTGCAGGGCTGGCACGGTTTTTACGAGTGGGTTGTCAGATGCACAAAGCGATAAAGTTGAGATCGTTGGCGCTTGTATCTCCATTGTTTTATCAGCCATAAGGGCTAGGTCTTTCAATTCGGTTTTCTGACGAGTATTTTCCAATATCTGTTATACATGAGTAGGGAGCCATTGTAAAGATAACCGCTTAAAGATGAAATTCTCCAGAGGGTTATCATTGACCAGAGCTTGCATGGCTCCCAGTGGTTGCACAGGAGTGCGATCGCCTAATTGTTCTCTATTAAATAGACTTTGCGCTCTCTTACGTTCACTAAGGCTAAGCTTGCGAACTAACAGGTCCTTTAACCGTTGATATGTAGTGCTTGTCTTCGAGATCTCCTGTGCCCGGAGCCGTAATTCTAGTGGGAGTCGGGAACTTACATGGTGAACCTTTAAGGCATCCTTATGTATGCGATTAATTTCGAACAGTAACTCGGCCTGAAGAAACCAAAGCTAGGGATATTGTATCCAAAATGTTGGTACACAACTAGTAGATACGATGGGTCAATTTAGAAAACGCATGATATGGTAGACGCGATGCTAATTTCCCTTGGTTGCTGGGCAGTCATATTCGCATACATAAAGTGCTTAAAAAACGACGAAAGGAGATACGACTCACCCGGACGTCGGGTTCACCACTTTGTAGGAGCACTTCTTAGTTGCTGGTTGCTGGACTAATGCCCCGTCGCTTTTGGATGCCGTGAACATATAGAAGGATGTTTTCCCACTGATCTATGCTAACGCTCCCACAACGTCATAATGAAGGACAAGGGAAAACCTGTGAAGATACGCTGCTGATGTTGGTACACTTTAGTTGTCGGATGTACGAAGTACGTTGATCGATTGCGTGTTGGCGGGACTTTAAAAATATGGTCGATGCAGCTAGTAAAAATGTCGGCTGAGTAAGGGCAAGGTCTTACCAAAGCTTATGTAGCAAAGTGATGAAGTTGCTACAACATTACTTACACACACTTTATCCAGTGTGAACCCGAAGGAATAAAACCGGGAGGCATGTGGATGGGAGCCACGTTCCATCAACGAAGCTGGCCAACACTCATTCGGTATGTACAGTAGCAGCATTCCTCTCTGTCTGCGTAGGGATTAATGCGTGTCAGACGTATACAAGGTGGTGGTTGGGCGGTAGCTTGTTCCTCTCTGGATGCATGGAATCACCCTTTGAGCCCATCACGGCCACGAGGACCGGGCACCGCCTCCCCCCCCCCCCCACCAACGATTCACAGTCTCCTGGAGCCAGTAATCGAGGCGGAGGGTGTTCAACCGGTAGGCACCTTGTCACTATTCACATCAAGCGCAGCCACACCAGGGATACAAAACAATCAATGTGGAATTTGTGGGAATGCAAACATGCCAAACGGACACAGAATATGCAACAGAATAACAGAATTGAACAAACCAAATGAAGCCGAATGACTTTTATCCCGATTAAAAGGACCCAGATTATGTGTAAGTCGGTTTAACCAGACTGCGGCAAAGTGGCTTCATGAATGCAATATTAAGCTCAGCATGAGGCACACTATGGTTGGCGGCATCCGGTTTCGGATTTGCCCGTCATGGTCGCCAGCCACAGGACACATGCGCCTACAGAGGGACCATGGATGGCTTGCGCTGCCCCACCCACATCTCCAACCACATACCCCATATCCAGTGTAAACCCGAAGGAATAAGACCGGGAGGCATGTGGATGGGAGCCACGTTTCATCAACGGAGCCAGCCCACATTCCTTCACAGGCAAACACAAGCACGCTGTATTTGGGAATCAAGCGCACACAAGGCGGTGGCTGGACCGTAGTCCGCTCCACACTGAGTGCATGGAATCGTTCTTTGGGCCTAGCACGGTCACAAAGACCGTGCACCCCGTCCCCTCCAGCAACGACCAACTGTCTCCTAGAGCCAGTATGGACGAGGTAGTGGGTAATAGACAGGTAGGCACCTTGTCAACATGCACATCAAGCGCAGCCACACCGGGGATATCAAGCAACAGCCAATCACTTGAAACGAAAATATCAAATAAAATAAATCAAATAATGCATACAGATACGGTGATATAACTCTTCGCTAAATTGGCATATGAAGTTAGCAATGAATCCGCGATAATTACAAAATGTTCAGAAGTTACACAAAATTTACTACAAACGCGGTAAAGTTAACGAAGATAACCACAATAAGTGTAAGCAACGAGTGGAAGTTAATGGCAGATTTTTCAGATAGGTAGAACAAACCAAATAAAGTGGAATGAAATGTATCCAGCTTAAAAAGGCCTAGTTTAGGTGTAAGTTGGTCTAGTTCAACTGCGGTGAAGAAGCATCAAGAATGCAACATCAGCCTCAGCATGGGGTGGAAGGCACTCTAGACCACCATAATGTGTGTCAGCTGTACACCGTAACGGCGCTTCGCTGCCGCGCGACCACCACCACCAAGGTTACTGGCATGTGTTTTGTTTTCTCGTACCCAGGCCGTACATAGAGGCTTGCTGCATGGTGGCTCGTTTCACTCCTTGTATGACCTACTTCTGTTGGGACTTCATTTCGTCGCTACAATATGGAGAGAAATAACCTCCAACCGTTTTCTCTGCGCTTACTTTTGTCTACGATGTCCAGTGTGAGTGGCGGATCGGTGTTTCTCATCTGGCAACTTGTTGACATGAACCTCATCTAGCCCCCCCCGCCTGCGATACTTATCCCATCTTTATGTTTCCTGCACTTTCAGAGTCTGATTCCGAGGTGCTTCTCCTAAATGGACGTCTGGCGTGCGGAAGTGAATCCACACAGCGCATATCCCGATGGCTACCTTGGTTGTCTAAATTTCTACTTGGATGCATAACCGTGCAGTTCTTAGTTCACTCCTAAACTGAATGTTAATTGATTATGTGTACATAACGATGCGATTTCGTTGATTTAATGTCGTAAACTGTCCATAATATAAAAATGTGCTTTTATAAATACCATGGCTATCCGGTATCACCTGTCTTATAAATGACTGAATAAGGTGTGTTTTTCTTCTCCTGATATTTAGTGTACATTTCGAATGAGCGAAAGTTGTTGGCGTTTCTTACTTGTTAGATCTAAGAAACAGTGCCCTGAAGACTGTCCGATTGAATATTAACGAGTCACATTGGACGCCTTTTCTTCTTCTTCTTCTTCTTCTTATTCTTATTATTATTATTTTTTTATGTGTACCCGGCCACGCGTTGCTGTGGCTCAGTGTGATTGAATGAGAAAGAAAGAAAAGAGAAAACGAACTTTTCTAATAGATGTAGTTCTACAATACTTGTGGGTATACAAAATCTTTTTGTTCCGTTGTCCGTGCAGATATGGAAATTGTCAGGTTTGCCTGCTCTAGAACACGCAACAAATAACTGTCCATTTGAGAAGCAGTCTGTCTCTAGATCTAAACCGCACGTTTCAAAAGATTGGTCCTGATCTTTATTGATTGTAACTGCGACTGCCAATCGAATTGGGAAGTGCAATCTCCTAAACTGCAATGACATATCCTTTGGAATCTTAGGATTGCGCGGAATGGGGATATGTTCATCTTTGAAAGATCTTGTCAAGATTGGATCAAAATTGTTAGTATTCTAATGTTCGCTGCTTTACCGCCATTCACAACTGCGTCTTGCAAATGAAGGTATTCTTTAGAGCGAAGCTTGGCTTGATTTAAACGAATGAATAGCAAACCTTCTGTCTCAATTTTTGCCTACACATCAACGATGTAATGGCGAAACCGTTGATCGCATTTCAACATGTGGTTGTCTTCATTTTCTTGAATCATCACTCAGTCTGATTTAGAATTTATATCGTTGCACTTCTTATTTGTTTCTTCGTCATTGACTTGATTTATCGTCTTAACGTTATAGTGATATACATCGACACTATCCCAAACATTGATTGCATATTGCAGGGCATCGTAGCAGCTATGAGTTTCCGCAACGTTTATTAATTGGTCGTGTGTTTGATGAACAACAATATCTCTAGGTTGGAACTGATCTCTGACTATAACAATTGCCACCTCGTCCATCGTTAGAGTATCGAATCTTCGCACACGTTCGCCAGTTGCCATTTTGTCAGCATGAATAACCATCTTGGGTATATCGGATGGCATCATATCAATGGCTGTCTTGAACAAATGCACTAAATTATTTCTTTGATGACGAAGCTCTTATAGTTGGGAAACGCTGGACTATTTTGTTCTGGTGGAAATTTCGTAGCTTACATTCAGTTCATCGATCCTGCACTACAAACTTGCTGCTAGCCCGAGCAAGCTGGACAGAGTCAGACGATGCCAGAGTGAGAGTCGACGTTGTCTACCTGGACTTCTCGAAAGCGTTCGATCGTTTGGACCACCGCTTTCTCCTTTACAAGCCTCGAAGCTATGGAATCGGTGACCTTACACTCGGTTGGATCGGCAACTTCCTAGCGCAACGTCAGCTGAATGTGAGAGAACGCAGCTCCATTTCCGACCCAATTGACCTCCAGTGTGGCGTACCCTAAGGAGCGGTACTGGGGCCACATTTATTCCTCACATTCATTAATGACCTTTGCAGTGTACTGCAGTCGAATTGCTTACTATTTGCAGATAATGTCAAAATTTGGCATGACAGCAGAACAGCGGTTGATCACATGGCATTGCAGAGCGATCTCGACAGGGCTTATGCGTGGTCATCTGATAACCGGCTCCAGTTCAACCTGACCAAGTACAAAGTCGTAAGCATATGCCATCAGTGTATCTATGAATATCGATTTGGGGACCAACAGTTACAAAGTGCTTCCCAAGAAAACAACCTCGGGTTGCTCGTGCAGGTAGACCTTGGTTGCTCGAGACATGCTGAAAAGGCATCAGAAAGAACCAGTCAACGTCTTGAACTCTTACGTAGGGCTTTCGTCAACCTTGAGCCATCAATCTTCCCGCAAATGCTGAACGCCTACGTGAGGCTTCACGTGGAATATGCGATGCAGGCCTGGCGTCCCTGCACAAGCGCGACCTCGACGCACTTGTAGCTTCACAACGTAGAGCGACCAAACTCGTTAGAGGAATGTTTCATCTCTCCTACCAACGCGGACTGCGATCGCCGAGATTGTACAGTGGTGAAAATCCACGTCTTTGAGAAGACCTAATCATGGTTTACTTAGTACTGACGAACCCAACTCACCAATGTCGCAATCTGTTGCAGCTGAACCAAAATACCGACCTGAGAGGCCATCAGCTCAAAATGGCTACGCACTACAGTCGGCTTGATTGTCGACGAAACGTTTCCTACCTCCATGTGTTCCGTGCCTGGAATGCCTTTCCGACTCACGTTATCCTTGCCCCTACATTAACGCGCTATTCAAAAAATGCCTTGATGAAACGCTTTCAAACTTGCAGTACTTGGGATAGTCCGTTCCACTTGGAGGACGAAATAACTCAAACTTAGCCATGTGCTTAACGGCCTTCTCCGCAACGTGGCAGTGAGGATACATGCAGAAGTGTCCATGTGAATAGCTTGGATGTAGCCAAACTGGATTAACACGCCACATCTGTCAAATGAAGCAACAAACGTGTGAGCGTTGTCGTTTCCTTTTTTCTTTCTCAAGTATTTACTGAACTATAACAGCTCTCTATACTATTTTGCTTGTGCACATCCCATTCCTACTTCAAACTATCGTTATGCAATAGTGCATTTAACTCGGTGGACGGTTGAAATAACGATTTGCTTATTCGATGATCCTTTCAATGTTAATTTGTACTCCAACTATCCTACGGGACTTGTCAAGCACATACCTTTTTACCCGTGATAAAACATTGTTCATTGGCATCACCGATGAAATACATTTGTAAGAATTTATGTTGACCATCCGGGGGTGAAAACAGCCATTCGGCTTTATGCTACCTATGTTTTCCACTTTGAACGTGGGCATGAATTGAGCTGTCACTATTTCTGCTCCAAACAATGTCATTTGGAAACACGAGTTGTATGTGCTTATATTAGTTAAGAAATGCTTTGAATCGGCGGTATATCCAACAAGTAAAGTTTTCATTGGCTCTGGCGGTTCTTCACCTTGTGGCAGTTTAACTTTTCTGGAGACGCAACACATTCCTTTTGTTTCTCCATTAAATTTCAGTCATAGAGCCGATGAGGACATGTTGGCTCAATCCATAATCATCAGCCGGGTTGTACCGAAGTGCGACGTGATTGCAGTCGCGTGGGCGCTGATCTGTAGTTTCTTGTTAACATCTTTCATCTATTCTCACTTTGTTGCATTCATTCCGTTGAGAACGAACCAGATCTGAAGCTGCAATGTGCGATCGCCATCTTCGTAATCGTGAATCCTCAAGTCTGTCTACACCTTGCATTGCTGTTTCCTCGGCACGTTGCCACGTTGTCTGTTTTGCTCGTTCGCTAACGCCCGTCTTTCTTCAGCTTGATTTGCAAAGACTTCGCAATGCTTCTGTTCTGCGACTACGACGATCTAAACTTGATCTTCTGTGGGACATTATTTGGGTGAACTAAAGCAGATCGAGGGCACTTACAAAGAAGAAAAAATGTTATAACCGAAACTCATTAAAAAGCAGACCATTGAAAATAAAAAATTACTAACTAAAAAGCAAATCAAAACACTAATAATGCTGTGTTGGATGACGCCTGGGATACTAGTCGGTCACAATGACACAAAAGTGACGTGTCAAATACGATAGAGTAGAGAAGTTGGAGGAAACTGGATCCAACGTGTATTGTGCAGGCTACAAAAGTAGGAAGCTAATGAACAAGGACGATGTTATAACTGAGAGAACGCCTCTGTTCTGATTGCGTAACGCCTGATAAGCTTGTCGCTGGCACGGTTGGTGCACACCTACGATAGCAGCCTGGAACGCTGACCAATCGGACGGACTTGCGTTGACCTGATGGCGTTAGCTTAGCCGGGGTGCGCGCTGGTGAGACGGAAATTGAGCGAGCATGAGAACGATCCTAGCCGCACGTATTCGGGTAGACGCTGAACCCTCGGAACGGACGCACACGAGAGGAGGTTACGATAGACGCGTGCTAATGACTTAGACGCGAAGGCTGGCCAGCTAACGACTCACACAAAATCACGTGACCCGACCGACTCCCAAGTAAGGCGAAGAGAAAGAAGGCAAGTGGTCCTCTGAAGGCTCTTTTACGACCAACAAAGGGCGAAACACAGCCAATGCTATGGGTTATTAAGTTAGGGAAAACAGTCACCACGAAGAGGTGGTAGTTTGCAAATGACCGTTGTCAAAAGGTGCGCAGTTGGGCCCCGTCCCGGGATGGCTGAACACTGCTGCGTTGTGGGGAGCAATTGGACTCCGCTTCCCACAGCCATTATGCCGGAGTTACTGGCACGTTTTTGCGGGAACATTTGACGTGCCCGCAACAGGCGAGGAACGACATAGTACGGGACTCACCGAAACAGTTTGTGCAAACGAAAGTGCTGTAAGTTAAACAAATGGACTTTTTGAAGGTGCAAACAACAGTAAAATACAACGTTTTAAAATACTGAAAGAGTGTGTTTTCTGGTGCACTACATAGGCCACCCTAGAAGGCTAGAGGAGGAAA